AACGATATAAGGTATATATCTTAATTCGTTTAAGTTTTAAGAGGTATTTACTACTAAAGTTATAGGTAGAAAAGGTATATCTTATTTATCTTTAAGTATAATAATATAATTATATTCTTATCCTTACTCTTATAGCTCTTCTTATATATTATTAGATAATTAAGAACGACGAGAAGGAGATAATTATAAAGGTAATAAGCTCTAACTACTAGATATTAAAGTTACTCTTAAGAGAGGGTTTATAAAGTTTAATATAAGAAGTTAATTTTAAGTAATAACTAGACTTCTTAAAGATTTAGTAGAACTTTAAGTTTAAGGTTAATATACTAACGTTATAAGTAGAGTTACTAGAGATTAAGTTTATAATAATAATATTAGAGAAAAAGATAACTAAGTAAATTAATTTAAGTATCTAGTAATCTATAATAAATTCTAGATAGGAGGATTAAGCTTAAAAGAATGAAGTAGTTCTATTATAAAGTTATTAATACTTAAAGAGTCGTTATTTTAATTTTAAGATAATTAAGATAGTTAATAAAAGTAAGGCGCGTATCTAGAGTTTAACGATATAATAGTTTTTAAATAACGAGAAGTATTTTATTTATTTTATAGAGTTAAATTTAATATTATCTTATATTAGTTATTATAGAATAAGTCGAACTTAAAAAGAAATTTAAGGGTATATCTTTAACTACGACGAACTTAGTTTAATATAATCTTATATAAGTTCTTTAAGAGTCTTTAAACGTATCTTAAAGAGTTATAGTAATAAGAGAGGTCTTAGAAAGTATTATAGTATAGTCTTAAATAGAAGAGATCGCTATTAAGAGTATAATTATAATATAAATTCTACGACGAAAGAGTTTAACTAATGATAACGTATAATTTACGGTAAAAGAGTTTATAGATATTTAGCCTTATATAGGATAATTAGCCTTATACGGGATATCCTATACCTAGTATTTATTAAGACCGTGATAGTTAATTTATAAGGCTAAGGGAACGCCTTAACTTCATCGACATCCACTACCAGCGGCCTCTGTAGCCAGTCTCGCGAACGGGCGACTAGAAGGTCAGTTTCTAAGATGACTCGTACGGCATTACGTCTAAGTATCAAAGAGGCCTCGAGAAATATCACGCTCTTGAAGCGGAGCCGATGGCTCTATATGATCCAGGAGAGTCAAGTTGTAATCACCTGGGACGCCGTGTATGGAGCGCACTCCAAGCTGATGAAGACGTGTGAACAGATACTCTGCGAGCTTGACCGTGGAAGAAGGCATTTCGGGCCAGCCACAGTCAGGAATGCTCCGGCTTGTGTCGGTGAGAGTCGTACATGCTGTACGAGAATGTTCGCTGCACAGGCTCTACTCTATCTCTGGGATATCCAGATTGATTGTCCCAGCAGGTTGACAAGTCGACCTTTTCTTTACGCCTTTGTCTCCTAATATTCGGGAATCACTGGAGTTGTGCAAGGCGTGTTCTTTCATGCCAACCAGCCCAGCGATGGCGGCCAGGCCGGCCAGGCCGAGATCAGCGAAGAAGGCAACTCCTTAACACGTCCACGTAGATGGCCAGGACGGTAGGCCGGTCCTAGTCGAGGGGCAGGTGGTTGATGGCGTCGAGGGACTTCTCCTATTAGTAAGCTTATGCCGGAGGCACCTAAATTATTCTGGCGAGCCTCAAACGTTGTTCGGAAGGTAGAGAAAGGGTTCTGACTCCTCTTCCACTACAGGCTCCTCTTGTCGTAACTAAGAGAAAACTCCCGCCTAAGGTCCTGCCTCTTGTCATTATCATCATGAGCATCATGAGTGGTTAGGGTATTATAAATGCTCAAGGGACTTCAGGTAAGTCCCTCCTTCCTTATTCTCACTGTCACGAATACCTACGTAACACTAGATACTTAACTTAGGCTACTAACTAAGGAGTTAGGCCGCTAGCTAAGTAGCTAGCTTACCGTATATATAAAGTAAGAGGAGTCGTACCTATTAACCTGAAAGCCTCTTTAAGCGTTAATATCTCTATCTATAGGCTAGTTATCTATCATTATTAATCCTATAGTATATACATTCACCCTCCAGTTAGCTAACTAGTCTGATACTCACTCTCTTATTTTTCATCGTAGTGCGCCCACTCCCTATCCAAGACCTGGAACACTCGAAAACAACATGTACAAGTTTCGGAAGAGGCTCCGAATATATGGCTAAGTACGGTGGAGGAGGATTAGGATTGGGTCGCCAGAGTGCATTGGAACCAATGCCTGCCGCAGCAAGCTAAAGTGGTTAGTGGCTTGATGTCGTGGTGGGCTGCAAAGGCGAGCATTCATGAAGAGAACAAAAAGTCTAAAGACCCCCAGCAGGCGGCAGCAGATAAAGAAGGTGGTGATTATTGTACCAATGAATATGTAACTATCAGGACCCACGCGACGCAGTAGGTGCCAATAGGTGCCGATAGATGGGATTGTTGTATATTGTATTACCTATCTGTAGTTCCTATGGATAACGACTTAACGCTTGGAGGAGGAGGAAGAACTAATTGACACCTAAGTTAGGTAGGAAGGGGCTTTTATAACTTCCCCTCTATACTATCACGTGGAGTAAGTATAAGGTAGGATAGTTTAGACTCGTGTTCGCCCGACATGCTCTCTGCCTTATGTACAATATCTATTTATCCTTTACATGCTTATCCGGTCTTACCTACACTCCTCTCCCGAATTAGCTCGGGAGTTTATAATTTCTTAGGCGATTATCTGTGATAGTAACAGCTAACTCACAGTGGTGAGCCGAGTCTGGAACAGACGAGCTGGGCAAAATCCCGGTGAAGCTAGAGTCATTCCATCTAATAGTTCTTCGTCTCTACGAGGAGAAATGTTAGTCCAACAGAAAGATCACACGCGACATCAGAATTCTCAGTCAATCCCCATCGAAATTGAACTCCTTTAACTCCAAGTGGTCTGATGCGCATCCCTGAGATCTGGATCATCATATACGACCAACTAGTCGGGAACTCGAGAAAATGAACAACAAACTTCGAGCTTTATTGAGACAGATGTCCGGGCAAACACACTAGGTTCCATCTTCCCCGGCTTCGACGACTATCATGTTCCTAGATCCCAAGATGCTACGCCTCTGGGAGATGTGGGACCCATCAACTTGTTCGCATTGTGATCATCCGCCATTGAGCTTTGGAATACGAGGTGTATGACGAAATGCCCTCGCCTATCGAACCTCCGAAGAGGGTGTCCCGCTGTCAGTGCACTACTCACTCGTTCGGACTTGCGTGTTTAAAGCAGCAGAAGCGTTGCTTACAGTGTGAGCTGGAAAAGACCGAGATGTGACTCTTCGGGAGTAAGGCTGTAGCTAGGGCACCGAAATGAAGAAATGAGTACGAATGCAGCCCATATTCATATTCGTAGTCACATTCTTTACGTCCGGCGCGGCGGAGAGTTAATCCGTTCCGATCAACAAGAACATCAACAAGAACATCAGCAAGAACACCAGCAAGAACATCAACAGGAGCATCAACAGGAACATCAGCAAGAACATTAACAGGAACATCAACAGGAACATCAATAAGAATAACAACAAGAACAACAACAAGAACAAGAACAAGAGCAACAATAAGAACAACAAGAACAGCAACAACATGGATTCTTGACCCATTCTAAGCTGATAAATATCAGCGTACACACGGAGAAGCTGCGCGTAACGCCCCCTTCAGACATACCGTGAGCCACTCGTAAATTCGTAGCACGCGACATTGTTAATTTGAAGTCCTTTCTGCCTAAGGCCAAGCGTGGTTCTCGTCGATAACCAATACTTCTCATGGCAGTACCAGATCCTCCAATAACTCTACACCGCCAAACGACCAGCTCGTAGTGGAAGACATGGCTGTTGCTCCCGTAGAGTCTCGCGTGACGCGTAATCTACCGCGTAAAGATTACCGTGGCGCCCAACAACGGGCTCGACGGGTTGATTTCGTACTCTTCGTACGACGTGGAAGAAAGCCTGATCTCAGACCTTACAGAGTTGGTTGACTGGGAAGGGCCGCTGCCATTCGGGTTGGTTCTCCAAAGTGTCGAGCAGCTGCTCCACCATCGTTCCGTCGGAACCTGAGAACCTTCGCCCGTCAGCATGCCAGAATGTGGTCGAATCCGTGGTGAAGAGGCGAAAAATTTACACTAGCTGGACTGAAGATCATTTCTTGATCACTGAGTTTGACATCCGGTGGAGTAAAAAAAAGCCGACTGCCTTCGAATGACCGGCTCGCGGTCCTTTGGACCGGATGCTATATCTTCGGCAAGAGGACAACAGCCTCGAACAAGCACTAGTTTGAAGATTATCGGCTGTGATTGAAGTAGAGCTTGGCGAAACCTGCGACAGCATTGCCATCGTTCTCGACGCATGGACGTTGGAGCACTAATTGAGTATTCTCGCGGGTAATTGGACATTGGATCACGCGGGCTTTGAGAGGCGAGAAGGGCCCCTGGATTTCGTTGAGCTTCCGGGACCCCATTGGGGCGGGCCAATATAGCGGCGGTGGTGCTCGCCATGCTCGACGATCTGGATCTCGCACCGAAGCCTCTGACGATCACGGCTGACAATGCCGGCAATGATTGAACCAGAACCACGTGCGACACCCTCTACGCGGAGCTGTTGAAGGTATACGATGACGAGGATGGGTGTTTCGCCTACGGCCGCTGATGCGGTTTCATGGCCGGGCCAGATTTATTCGATGGCTGCCTAACACACATCCTAAATCTCATCTGCGAAGATATCGAGACCCCGCTGGGAGTCGGACTGGTCAAGAAGCGAGGGCCACGCTCGATCACGCGAGAGCATTAAGAAGCGGGTGGCCGTCCGAACCGCGCGCGAACGCGCTCGCCGGGAAGAATGTGGTGAAGACCCGCATGCTGGTGCTCTGGATCGCTCAGAGCGGTCAAGGCTTGCAGGAATGGGAGGGGTGTCGCGCCCTAAGCTTATCAGCTACGATGTGGAGACACGATGGAATTCGACCTACACCATGATCGCCGACACGCTTCGATCCCGGAATGCGCTCGAGAAGGCGGAGAAGTTCAATTCGCAAGATGGGACGAGAATAAATTACACTATATGGCAACAGTATTGGATCCGCGTATCAAGACCTTGATCACGGCGCACAGAAGCCCAGCCGACGCGGTGTCGATCGTATTAGAGGCCCGCGATTTTGTCAAGGCTGAACGTATATCCCTTTCGTTTCACTCTGCCAGCGGAGCCAAAACAACCGGCGGGCATGCCCAACTCGTTGTGGAACAAGTTGAGACCGCTCCAGCCAGAAGCCGGCATCCGAGACGACCGACATCGACCGGTACCTGGACTCTGCTGTGGTGAGCTGGTCGCAGAATTGTATTGAAGATGGTACTACAGACTGGGTCCTCCAGTGGTGGAAGGCTAATGCTCCGTCCCATCCATGGCACGCGCCGTGCGGGACTATTTACATAGCAGGATCTTTTATGGTTCGTACCGTTTCATTTGACTGTTCAGAGTACTCGAAGTAATGCACTCATGAGGTTGTACCCCATCAGATCGTCCTGTTCAAAAGCTGTTTTCTCGCTTACTAGTATCTCACCTATATCTCTTGAAATCTTCGCATGCCACCTACGCCGGGCTGATTGCGGAGACATCGCTTCGACTGAAATATGAAGGGCATCGTTCTGGAGAAGAAACACATACACTGGAGCTGGAGTTCGCCATGTTGAGAACGATAGTTTGCAAGCGAATTCTCCGCTGTGGGAGCCAAAGTGAAACCTATGCTATGTCTGTCCTTCAGCCATGTCAATGTCACAGACAATCGCCTAAGATACACTCCCCACCTAATTCAGGAGAGAAGTGGAGGTATGAGCAGATAAGTGTGCAAAGGATAAACATGCATTACACACAAGGCTGAGAGCACAAGGCTGAAGGCACAAGGCTGACAGCACAAGGCTGGAAGTATAAGGCTGTGCATGAGGCTGTCGGGCGAACGCAAGTCCGTACTACCCCACCTTATGCTCACTCCACGTGACAGTCCAGACGGGAAAGTTCTTCCTTTTGTCACGGCCTGCGCGCCTCAGGTAGTGGGGTACCCCGCACAAGGCTGGATTCCCCACACGAGCCTGAGCGCGCATAACCTTATCTTTCGTGCCATCGCCGCAACCACTAGTTAGATTCCTTCGTCTCAGAATTCATGTCCTAACTGCACCCTTAACAGCGATCACGTTCCTGTAGTAGATTGCGCCGTGATAAGATACCATGCGGTCGTTGGTTCTACTCAAGAGCCACTGCGACTCTCGCATGTAGATGGGAGGTCTGAACGGGTAGCGGAGTAGCTGAGACACTGTGCAGTGAAATCAATACTATTGTGAACAGACGTCTTTGGATTTTCCACGCTCGTGAATATTCGCAAGATGCGTGTTCAAGTCGCAGTTCTAGCTGTGGTTCACCAATCGCGGAGAGGAATGTGGTGACTAGTAACCCCGGCAACTGCAAATGTAGCACATCGCCGGGGCGCGAAATCTTGCCTTTGACGCCCATGGCCGCGGCACCCGGTTCGACCGACGCGTCGCTGCGCGCTGCGAGTGTTGTTGTCGATCGTCTGGCGTACACTACTTCTCAGCCAATCATGTTCCATGTTGTCCTAACCCTATTGGGAAGGTTGACCGAAGAATTTCCGCCCCGCACATAACAAATCCGCAGGTCCGCGTCATAAATTTCCTGGCCTGATTAGAATCAATCAAGTTATCCCATTTGCAGTCGGTTCATCTCCTCCACACCAAGTCCTCTTCCATTTCGCCGCCGGCGGGCTCCCCAGGCAGGCAGACCTACCTTTATCTTACCCACCTTCACCAGATTACCTACCTACCTACCTACTCCGTGCCTACGTGCCCCTCCATGGCAGATTACCCCACCTCACCTTGACTCTACCTATCCTCCGTCGTCGTCAGCCTGCCAGTTCGCCTACTACACTGGTGAATGCAAGCAGCCATGGACAGCCGCCAAACAAAGCCACCCTCAGGCTTCGGGTCCATCAATGGTGTCTTAGCGCATCGACGTGAAACCGGGGATGACGGATCTAGGAACTCCTCCCAAATTGCCACATCGATCAACAATTCCTGGCCAAAGAAATACAAGTGTACCGAATTTGAATGTATTGATACAGTGGCAGGGTTATTTGGCTTCAGCGACGAGGAACAGCTACAACGTCACATGCTCGATCACACTTTCCCGGCCTTGTTGGATGGAAATCCGCCCCAGACACCGCTAGAGTCCAATTTCGCGCATTGGACTCCGCCTCTGGACGCCAGGGGCATGCCCCGCATACCGGACAGTACCTGGAAATTCGACGGTCTGGACAGTCCAGCTGGGCCCTCGTACCAGGCCAGGGAAGCATGGGAACCTGAGGAGCCCACGAGCGAAGAGGATGCATCCCAGGAGGATTTGATCGAGGGCCTCGAAGGCCTAGGCCTTGGGATAGACGGGGCCGATGTAGGCGGCTACGACGGAGGAGGCTATAAAGTCAGCCTCAAAGACGACTTGGATGAAGACGATTTTTGGGAGAACCAGACATTCCCCCAGGACGTTGAATCTCACTTCAGCCCCCTGTCAGGGCAGATGACGCCGGTACTGACGAACACCCCTCACGTACCGTGGATCACGGTTACGGCTGCACAGCCACAGGATGGAGGATTTTGTGGAAATCTTGAGCAAGGCTCTCAACACCCACGTTTTGGAGCTGATTGAAATCAGGCGGGGAATTTGGGTTTCCTTAGTGTGCTAGAATGCTATAAAGCCGGGGACGAATCACAAGATGCGCTGGTTGGCGCGCGACGAATTATGAAAGACAGACTTTGGCATTTTTGCGTTCATCGATCTACTTCGTGCCTTGAAGCTTTACTTCTTTCGCCTGCTATTTACAGGGTGGGTAAACAATCTATTGTTTTCTTCATCCCTTCCCAGGCTTCGCTTCGTTGAGAGCTTGTATATGCCCCAATCTCTTCTAACAATCGATAATCGAGCTTCCCAGCTTGGTCACAGGTTCGTCGTCGATGCGCGTGGACTGTGTTCCATAATGGATGAGTCCACTCACTCAATGAACGTCTCCCTTGTAGACCAGCCTCGCCAAAGCGTGATATCCATATGACGAGGTGGGAGGCAGCATTCATCACTCTTACTGGAGAACTTCTCGGTCATTATTTTTCTGCCACAACCCAATCTTTTTGAACCGCTTGAGCCTCTACCTGGCCGGACCTGCGACAGATCTACCATGACGTCGGGGGTTCAGATATAGGTAGGTGTCCTTATAGCTCGTACAGCAACTGCGTTTTGACTGTCACAGGCGTGCGTGACGTGGCCACTCCCGAATGAATCCTCATCCAGCTCACATGCTGAGCAGGCAGGGTAGGCTAAGGCTTCACCTCACACCGACTCACTCCAACCGGCTCCGGAAACCATCCGCGGATGACTCCAGCTACTTCATTGCTGGCTCGGCATGTTCAGGAAGCCACGAAGTGGGCAGGTGTCGGAGTTTGGCGTGCGGGCTGGGGCACACGGGGCGTTGGTCTTAGGTGTTTGTGCTTGGGTGGGAAGCTTTTTGGTCCATGGAGTGTCCGTGGGTGGGTGGTCACCGCAGGGGGGTTCTCTGCGCTCCTCAGGGCGGATGCGTTTGCAACTCTTGGGCCTCCCTCGCGTACTGTCCCCCTTCGTAACGTAGGTAACCCGGGGACATTGAACCGGGCTGCTCCGGGAGGGAGGTGACAACTTGGGAAGATACTGTTTTCTTGTAGTACCTCTCCGAACCTTATCGGTTATCTAGTCATTCAAGCTTCGTTAGCAAGAAGACGATTTCCTTGTCTCTATCCCTGCGTTCTCGGCAGAATGACAGTGTCAAACTGCCAAAGACCAGAGAGAGCTCTTATCCCCAAAGTCTCGACCGCTGAAGGCTGTGCCAAAACACACTTCACCACAATGCTGTCGTGCTCCCTTATCTTTATCACACAATAAGATCACGCAAGAGAGGGGGCTTTGTCAGGGATAAGGACAGAGAGAAGACTGGAGAAGACTTCGATATGTAGGGGTGACTTGGGTGGCCTGATATTGACATCTTGATGCACTATAAAGTACCAGACGAGAGCGAGTGACAAAGAGCTCGAAGGGTAATTCGGGCTCTTCTCGAGTTCTATATACCTTTCCAGGTGAGACATTCTCCCTTGTTTCCATGTTCTAGGCCCTTTAAATGTTACCCAACGATGTAAGGGTTTCTAATAGTAAAACGCAAGGGGTGTTGGCAATGTAAGGGGTGTTGAACAGCTGAGTCATCGTAAGGCTCTACCACAGCCTTGTGCGGGTAGTCTTGGCAGCTGATGGCAGTTGATGGGCGCACGTGCTATGTGTTGGTCCTGACCAATCATATCGTTCGCAATTTACCTGTACACTGCATAGGGAAGTCCGGCCAATCACATCGTTCTACGTATTGATTGCTCTACGGGTGGGGCTGTGCGACGAGGCTGCGCCGTGAGGTTGTATGTGTTCCGTGGGGCTGCGGTAACATGCTTGGACCTTGACCAGTCTGATCAGGGACCTAGGCGATGACATACGAGGCTCCGTTACCTATCTGTCCCGCTCCCCCATGGCGTTTCTGCTTTTTCATCAAATGCCCAGGCTGGGGGTGGGTGGCAGCTGTGACGCCTTTCCTGTACTCGGTACCTACTAGACACATCTGACAAGTTCAGTTCTAGATCACTGACCAATGCCAGCGGAAGATTCACTATGTTCGAGCAGGTACCGAGTCATAAAACTGCAGTGATGAGGGCTTTAAACTCGTAAGCTTAATCTACAGGAGAATCACGTCCGAGGATAAGTACTTCTCCGTCACCGTTTTTTAGTCTGGTAGGCTGAAGAGCTCGTCAACCTGATCCATGACATTCTTGGAGGATGGTCGCACTGGACACGTTGAGTCCTCCGCGGTGTCAATCGGCAACTACGAAATGCACGGGCTGTTGCCAATCTGTTGGGCTCAGGTCTTGGAAGGACAACTCGACCGTCCAGGCGGTGCTGTCGGCTTGGACCACTAATGTCACGGAGAATCGCACAAGGAGCCATCCACTCCCCACCTAATTCAGGAGAGAAGTGTAGGTAAGGCCGGATAAGTGTACAAAAGGGTAAACAGGCATTGTACATAAGGCTGTTAACGTTCAGGCTGAGAGTACAAGGCTGAGACCATAAGGTTGTCGGGCGAACTAAAGTCTATACTACTCTACCTTATACTTACTAAGCTCTACGTGATAGTATAGAAGGGAAGTTGCAAGAGCCCCTTCCTACCTAACTTAGGTGGGAGTTAGCTCTTCCTCTTTCTCGGAGCGTTAAGTCGTTATCTATAGGAACTACAGATAGGTAATATAATGTACAGTAATCTAATCTATCGGCACCTACTACGTGGCGTAGGTCCTGATAACTAACGCATACTACTAATATTTCCCCCTGTGTGTGAAGTGCCTCCCCCTTCCATATTCCGGCTTTAGACCGGCGGGATGTTATCAACTTTCAGGACTGCAAGCGGGACTGGCTGTCACGGCGGCCAGTGGCAACAGTAAATGGGGATGGTATCTCGACTTCGCCGGCCTTAGTCTGATCTGCGAGGTCTTGTTCTACTTCTCCCTGTCCGAAGACCCGCCTCAAGTCTCTCGAAGAACTTGGCGCCTTATTACGCGATATGGTCGTGGTGCACTTGACAGACAACGGTCGGGGTTATTGTTAAGACTACCGATGTCCCTGCGACGGTGTATGAGCTGAAGGTACTACTGATCACGATCCCGACAAGTCTATCGGGTGGCGAGGTACTTAATACAGTGCCTAATTATCAGACCAGTTAGCTAACTGGAGGGTGAATGTGTGCACTATGGGATCAATGATGATAGATAACTAGCCTATAGATAGAGATGTCAACGCTTGAAGAGGCTTCAAGGTTGACAGGTACGACCCCTCTTGCTATATACATGCGGTAAGCCAGCTACTTGGCTGGCGGCCTAACTCCTTGGTTGGTGGCCTGAGCCGAGTGTCCAGTGCCACGTGGGTGTTCGTGACACTAATCGAGCCATACGCCGATGGAACCTTCTAAGTATTTCAGCCTAGGTGGCGGCAGGGACGACTCTACAAAGTACAAGGTGGCGTTCCTGCGTTCCGGCACCGGGCGGGAACCTGATCTCATTCTCGACCCGGATCGAGGTATTCTTCAAGTCCGTGGCAAACCTAACAGGTGACCGGCTCGAGCACGCTGCCAATGTCGCGGCTCCGTTCTGTATGCGTTTATGTACATGCGCAGACGAGACGGGTATGAGGCACATGGAGCAAGATCTTCTGGGCTCTACAACTCACGGGCACCGTGTCGGGCGGTTGAGAGATGGCAGTGGGCGACGCGGGCAGCCTAAGTTAGGGGTTCTTCATTCCCCGACCTGCCTCGAGGCTACCTCGACAGACTGGGGCCCTGATAAAGTCCACAGCGCCCGGGGTCTGTGTCTACAGGACATGCCTGTCTTCGAGGTACGGGAGCGCTCGGTTGAACTGCCTCTCGTGCTCGAATCTACCAATGCAAAAGTGTCTTCCAATATTAGGTACACCACCCTAGTAAAAATATCCGTCCACCCCCACCCCACTAGATGTTTTCACCCTTACTACCTCTACAATAAGTAACTACTATACACTTAATTTATAAGATAATTTAATATAAATTATAGGATCTCTAGCTGAATAGTTATAAACCTAGCTCCGCGAAAAAAAACTATTAATATCGTATATACCAGCCCTTAGCGGCGATAACTTCGTTAATCCTATTATCCATCGACTTAACCACTACCTTAATCTTTCCAGGACTGATACTAGCCTAGGCCCTAGTAATAGCGCTTATAAATCGCTACCTAATAGCCTCGCTATCGCTAGTAGTGTCCTTAAGGCTAGGGTCGATCTCGTTAACGAGGCGTTTCAGCTTAAACTAGAGGCATTCGATTAGGTTTAGATTAGGCGAAAACGGTGGCTAGTCCATTACTGTTATTCTACGGTCTACGAACCATTCTATAACCTTTTTCGCTTTATAAATTAGGGTATTATCCTATATAAAGACTTACCTAGTTCCTAGTAGGTAGGAATGTTTTCCTCGAGTACTTCGAGATAGGAATTAGCCGAATAGCCCATCTTTTTAGACTCTTAGTCGCGCGATAGAATAACGGTATCTAATGCCTCTTAGCCCTAGATTACTACCTAGATCATGATCGAGAGGTCTTAAGCTTTACCTCGAGGTGTAATAAAGTCCTTTTTCCACTTCTATTCTGGCGTACGGAATAGCCATTCGCGTGCGATCCCACTACCGCGGAGTATCGAACATTCGTCTAACTAGATAACTCGCGACCATTCCTCCTAGGTCCAGTCTTTATACGCTAAGGCGAACTTAAGGCGTTTACGAGTATGTTCCTTAGTTAGTTTAGGCCTGTTTTTAGCCATCTAGCGGCGTAATCCGTAGTCGTATAGTACTCTTCGAACGGTATCGATTAAGATATTAAGATCGTTATTATCGATTATGTGATGGGTTGAACCCAGAAGGAGGCTCGGTTCTGACGAACCAGCGCTAAGACTAACGACAGGACTAACGTCACCTCCTGATTGGCTGAATTTACCTGTACAATACAGGTAAAAAGCAGCCTCCTGATTAGACGAGGCGCGTACCGTACAAGGGATACCGAATCCTAGTAAACTAAGACACCGTACGTAAGGGAAGGTAAGAAAGAGAGATAAAAGGTAAGGGAAACGTAAGGCGTATACGAAAGAGGAAGGATAAGGGAGAAAGGGGAAGACATTAAGTATCCCTTACGGAGGAGCGTACGATATAAGGAGAGAAGGAGAGGATATTAATCCTCCTTCTCTCTCCTTAGATTTATCCTCCTTATTACTAGGTTCGCTAGCTAGTTATAGAACTCTTTCTAAACCCTTACATTAGGATAAATCTCCTATTTTACGTACCTTCGTACGTATCGATAATGGAAATAGATTCTTCGTCTACATTAGGTCCAGCTCCACCTCCGGAATAGGTAGCGTAGTTATATAACCTAATTCGAGAATAGAACTAGCGAGTAGAAGGTCTAGAGTATCTCCTCTAGAACTAGTAGAATAGCGGGAGTACCCCTACTCCCGAGTCGATATAACGAGAGAATAGTAACGTACGGGAACCATTAGCCGTACGCGAATCATCGGACTAGAAACATCGGAAACTTCCTAAACTCCCTAAGTTCAGTAGAAAACGGACGGAATTTCGACTATAACTTACGTAGGTAAAGGCGAAGCTTAATATCGATAAGTACGAGGATATCGAGATCGTACGATTTTAGTATATATATAGTAGATTACGAGGAGAAGCCCTCGCGTAAGTTAGCGCCTAGGTAGACGTAGTTATTTCGATAGACTAGATGACGGTTTAAGGCCTTTTTTCTCAACTATAAGCGGCGTACGAGGATTACGAGGCCGCTAAGCGAGCATCGCGGAAACTTAGCTTTATATAGTAAGGGATAAAGACATTTAGTACGTTCCTCGCCGAATTCGACCGTACGATACTAGACGCTGGCGGCCTTAGCTAGGACGACTAGATTAAGAAGACCTTCCTAGCTAACTACTTATCGTACGAACTATAGAATGTGATTATATATTACGAGGTGCTTCACACGTGAGGTATCCTTAGTAAACCCGAGGTGGTTTACTTAGTGATATAGTAGTAGGCGATATAGTAGAGACGAAACTAAGAGTATAGTGTACGGCACTATACGTAAAGTACTTTAATCGAGAGGAACTCGATTATTTATGAACGAGGTTAACTACGCTTCCTAAAGAAGCGGACCTAGCTAGCTATATATCTTAAGTAGGTTTCCTATCTAGGTAAGTCTAGGTATTATAGTATTATAGTTATTATATCTCCTTAGCGTATAATAGTATTTTATCTATAATAATATATTTCCCTTTTTAGTTATTACGTATCTTAGGTTAGCCTTACTAACGAGGCTACCCTATATCTCGCTTAACCTTCCCTACCCCGCGTTCCTAGGTAGTCGTATAAAGGTCGGTTCGTAATACTTCCCCCTCCTTAGTCTATTCGTTATCTATAACGTACTTAAGGTAAGCTATCGCCCGCCCTAAGGCTATCTCCCTCTTTCTTTTCTTTCGTTATAGCTAACTATATAGGCCTTTAGAGTCCGTAAGCCGAATCCGAAACCTTTAAGATCTTCTAAACCTCCTATTCCGTAGTAATAGCGTTAAAACGAAATTACTGATTATATCGAATCGATTAAAGAAAATAAAGTAATAGTCGCTTATTCCGAGTATATCGCCTATAGCGATGTATACTTCTACTCTCGAGAGTAGAGCGTAAAGTGTACGGCGTACCTTCGGTACCGAAGAGAATATAACGGAACATTTTCCGTTAAGTAACTTCGAAAGATTAGGGAGTAGAAGAAGTAGCTATCCTCTAAGTCCCGGCTTAAGCGTCGCGAGATCGCTCAGCTTCGAAAAACCCTAATGGAGGCCCGGCGGTCCCTAGCCGAATTAGAGGCCGATCTCGTTAGTATTAAAGAGGAGGATTCCGAGCTATAGGAATCGATTACGAAGTTAGATAAGCTTTCTAATAATATATTAAAAAGAGAAATATAAGCGCTAGGCGCTTTCGATAAAGTTTCTTCCGGCGAGGAGGTAGCTTTAGTTAAGTCTAAGTTTATTTAGTAAGACGTCCTAGAATCGAACTTAATAGACTAGAGTATAGTATTAAACCTTAATAATACTAGTTTTACTAACGCTCGGGAGAGTTTATAATCTAATAGTAGTAACGTTCTTTTTTCGGGTTCTCTAGTAGTATTTTTTCTTTAATTTAAGAGGTATATCTTCGCTATCTTCCTAGGTATTCTCTTTACTTCCGTATCTTAACTATTTAACTAGATATATATCTTATCCTCCGGTAGATTAATCGGCGGGATAGAAGTCTACGAGTTCTTCTATCTCGTATAGTAGTTCGCCGGTTTCTTAGTCGATATCTACGGGTTCTAGTTTAGCGTTTAGATTATTATATAGTTCTAATAGAGATTTATAGAAAGTAGAGTGTATTCCTAACGTTTTCGGTAGGTCTAGTTTAAAAGTTACTAGTTCTAGTTTTCGTTTAATGCGATATAGTCCGATCTTAATATAATCTAGTTTATCGCTTAGTCTTTTTATTTTAATGTTTTTCCGTCGTATATAGACTATCCCTCCTTCTTTAAGGTCTAGTCCCTTAGATCTTTTCTTATTTTCTCTTAATGTTATTTTTTCTACGATTTTCTATAACTCCTTCTACATCATCTCGTATAATTATTTCATCTATTCTAGTTATATTCTTACTTTTTCTAATATCTTTTTCTTTTCTTCTAGTTTTCTAAATATATCTAGATAGTATCCGTAATTTACGAAATATAATAAGATCCTTATAACGGCTTTACTATTATTAAAAGCTATTTATACTATTAATAATAGCTATACTTAATTATTCTATTTATAATTAACGTAGTACCGTAAGTATTATTCTACTATCTAATTTATTCTTTCCGTTTATTTATCCGTCTATAAGTAATATACTATTAAAAGTTTTAGCTTTATCCCTAGCTAGTCGTTTAACGATTACTAAAACTATAATGTAAATAGTTTATCTCTATCTAAGATAACTTCTTCTAGTATTCCGTATTCGATAAAGACCGTTCGTATAAATATATATACGAGATCTTTTACCGTAGCTTTCTCCGTAAATAGTATTATATAGGCGTATTTCGTTAGCTTATCGACTACTACTATAATGCTATCGTATTCCTTACCTATAAGAGGCTCTCGGAATATCGGTAGCTTTATAATAAAGTCGACTAAAATTAAGCTCTATAGTCTATTTAGTATCTACGGCGTTATTAGGAGCCCGTATAGCTTATACCTATCTTTCTTTACCTTTTTATAGGTATCGTATTAGTCTACGTATTCTTCGACATCTTTTCGAAGGCCTTTTTAATTAAAGTCTCGCGTAATTAGTTTAATTATTTTTACGATTCTAGGGTATCCTATAATTTAACTATTATATCTTTCTCTTAATACTTCTTATTTTTATTCCTTTATAAGCTCGATATCTATAACTACGAGCGTTACGTATCCTCCGTACTATAGTAAGTCTCCGTTACTCCTAAGTAGGGTATCTAGTTTCGGTTATACTATTCCTATATAGTCTAGTCGTTAGCTTAGAGCGTTAGCTCGACCGTTTTCTATTCCCTTAATATAGTATATCCTAAAATCGTATCGCGTAAGCGTCTCTACTTAGCGAACTTATCGTCTATTTAGTTCCTTAGTTATAGTCTAGTATATAAGGTTCTTATAATCCGTATATATTTAAACTAGATATTTACCTCCTTTTAAGTAAACTCTCTACTATCGTAATGCTTCGACGATTACTAATAACTTCTTATTATAAATATCGTAGTTCGACTCTAGTTAGGTTATGCGTCTCGAGTAGTAAGCTATAGGTCGTAATCGGCCTTAGTCGTCCTTCTACGTAAGGTAGGCCCCTATAGCTTTATTAGATGCGTCTATCTCTAGTATCGCTTCCTTTTCCGGGTTAAAGAGTATAAGTATAGGAGTAGAGGTTATCCGTCCCTTTAGCTCGTTAAAGGCTGTCTCGTACTTCTCGTTCTATTAGAATTCTTATTCTTTCCTTATTAAATTAGTTAGAGATATCGTAATTTTTAAAAATCCTTCGATAAACCTTCTATAGTAATTAATAAGTCCTAGAAATATCTATACTTCCTTAACGGTCTTCGGCGTAGGCTATTCTTAGATAGCTTTTACCTTATCTAGATTTAGCGTAAGTTCTTCTATCGATATAATATAGCCTAGGAATGCTATCGTATAGATATAGAATTAGCATTTACTTAACTTAATAAGTAAATCCTTTTCCTTTAGTACTTATAATACCTTCCGTACGTATTATACGTATTCTTCTTTCGTTTTAGAAAAGATAAGGATGTTATCGAGATACGTAACGATAAACTCGTCTAGGTATTCCCTTAACGTATTATTAATAAGTACCTAGAATATAGTAGGGGCGTTAGTTAGTCTAAAGGGCATTACCTAATACTTAAATAACCTCTATCTAGTTTTAAACGCTATTTTCTACTCTTCCCCTTCCTTTATTCGTATACGGTAGTAGGCGTCTCTAACATCGATTACTATAAACCATTTTACTTCTAGTAGTTAATCCTATAGTTCGTCGATCCTAAGTATTAGATAGCGGTTCTTTTTAGTGATTACATTAAGTTTCTTATAATCTATATAAGGTCGTAATCCTCCGTCCTTCTTATTCGCGAAGATAACTCCGTATAATATCGGCGATTCCGACGGTTATATAAACTTCTTCGCTAGATACTTCTCGATATAGTCTTTAAGAAAGTCTTCTTCCTTTTTAGACATTAGGATTAGTCCTCTATAGTATATTAATATTTTTCCTTCCTCGAATAGGATTTTATAGTCCTATAGTTAATGTTTCGGTAAGGCTACCTCGCCTTATCTTTCTTTCGTAAGGATCTCGAAGTCTTTATATTCCGCTAGGAGCTCTTCTATAATAGTACTAACTAGTATTCTCTCTATCGGTCGTACTAGGATAGTTCTTTCTAGAGCCTTTAAGGATGATCGGTCCCCCCTTTTTACGGTACTACTTTCCGCGAATGTAATTATCTTCGTCCTCTAGTTAATTATTAGGTTATTCTTTTAAAGTTAGTTCATTCCTAAAATTACGTCGTACCTTAGAATCGATGTAATGTCTAAAGTAATTCTCTCTTAGTATTACTCGATCGTTAATAGGATTTCTTTTAATTCTATTATAATCCATTATAATAGCCGTTTATCTACTATTCTTAATAAGTATAGAAGTAGTTTTCTTACCTTATAGTTTCTTACTCTTTCTACTATACCCGTACTCGCGTAACTTTAATTAGCTCCTAAATCGATTATAATCTATACCTAGATTCCCGTAAGAGTTACCGTAAGGGCTACGTAGTCGTTCCCTAGTGTAGTTATCTCTCTTAATTCTAGAGGCTTTCTAATCTTTTAATTATTATTATAACTTCCTCGCCTCTTTAGGTCGTTACTTATAAGTTTTTTAGCTAATATATATATCTCTCGTAAATCCATTAATATATCTCTTATCGGCATTCTTCTATAGTATTAAAAATATCTACCTCTACTATTAGGATAATATTAAAGTCCGGGTCTACGTTATAGACGTACTAATGTTCTTCTTTCGTTAAATAATTATCCGGGTCTAAGTATATAAATTCTTTTATGATGAAGTCTTCGTTAATTCTATTATCTATAATATCTTCGACGATATATTACTAATTCGGGTAACCCTCCCCTTCGTCGCTATTAATAAACATTATGTAGATTTCTTTCTATTAGTAATGTAAGTATATCTCGTTTCTTTAAGGGCATTCTTACTCTTCGTAGATTACTTTCCCTTCGTATAGTAGTATAGCGTATACTTCCCTTAGTATTAGTATACCTAGATATCTCGGGTCTATATTATAATAGTATAGGTATAGGTTCTCTTTTTCTTTATACTCCTTATCGTAGTAGTAGAGTCTTCTATAATAGTAATATAGGTCTTCCCTCTCGTTAATGACCCTAATTCTACGTAGAGGTCCGACTTTCGTCGGGACTAGTTCCTCGATTACTCCTCTTTCTCTCTATAATACTTCTTATTATACCCGAGCTTTAGCGATTTTCTTTATCCTCCCTTCCGTAAGTCGGATCCTAATAGTGTCCGGTTAAGTTAGTTAATGTACGTAAGTATTTTCTTTTTCTAGACATTCTCGATCCTAATACTACGTTAGGTTAATTTTTCTAATCGTCGTTTAAGGTAATCCGAAGGGGCTATATATAACGTAGTTATATTCCCCGTTATATATACATCCTTCTTCGTATTCTCCTATTATTTAGTAGTTTATAGTAATGATAACTTCTACGTCGTCGGTATTCATCGTAATATATTATCGGTAATAGACGTCGTCGTATATAGTTAGTCTCTCCTTAGGTTCTTTAATATTAAACCTTCCGTCTCGGTAGTTATTATATAAACTATAGTTCGATCGGCACCCTATCGTAGAATCTTCAGCCTCGGCCTAATTCCCTATCCTTATACTCGCGGCTCTAATATACGCGATCCTCTTACATTCCTTATAACCTTAATAAATATATACTAAGGAGGCGTATCTTTCCCTCGGCTTCTCCTTAATCTCCGATGTCATTATATTAAGGCTTTATTATAATAGTAGTATAATCGGTACCGTAAATGCTTTATCTCCTTTACCCGCGTGCGTATATATCCCTAGAACGGTATATCCCGCGGTTTAGTAAATTTCGTACTAGACTATTATCGGTACCCTTACCGGTTATTCGAGGTCTATAACTAGGTATTTATATGCGATTTCCGTCCTATAGTTATCTTCGTACTAGTAGTTAAGTAGTTTCTAGTATAGGGTGCTAAGTACTATCTATTTTTCGTTATGTTTAATTACGATAAACATAGTTTACTCGTTTAGTCCTAGTATACGTATCATCTAGAACTCGTTATTATTCGTCTCGATCTCTTTAATGATGAAAGCTTCCTAGCGCTTTAGTCCCATCTTTCTACTTTATCGCCCCCTTCGTAACTTTTTCGGGAACCATCTACTACCTTCCTTATCGGAGTAGTAGGTAGGATAGTCGTCCTTATAATAGACTATCTAGAATAGTACTGAGTATTATTCGTTCTTTTCTCATTCTTCTAAGGTAGCTTCTTCCTTAGGTTTAGTTCCTAATCTACCTATCTCCCCTAGAGATACTATACCTAGGTAGTCCTTCTATACTCCTTTACCTTAGTCGTAGGCTACTATCTAGGTCCTCTATGAAGTATCGGCCTTTATTTCTTTATAACCGGCTATACCGTCGTCCATCATATGTAGCGTTAGACCGTTCTTATAGTTTCTCGTACGGTATCCGGATTTCCCGCATTTATAGTATAGGTCGTTCTTCTTACGTTTCTCTCGTTCCGACTTAGATAGCCCTTAGTTTCCCTTCTTCTTAGTATTAGCCTTCTATAAAGTTAAACTTCCTCGTTAGGCTATGTCTAGGTCTATCGGGTCCCTATATTATTAGCGGCTTCTATAAGTTATTCCCCCTCTATAAGCACCTCTTCTTTCTATCTATCTCTTATAGAGTTAGTTATCGATCTCGATAGAAGCCTTAATAAGTAGTTTATACTCGTTAAGACGATCGACTCTCATCCTATCTTTAACCGAATCCTTTAGTCCTTAGTAGTAGACTAAGGCGAAAGCTTTATCTTCCTAATCTAGCTTTAAAGCGTATCGTTAGAATATAGCGAAGTATTTAATAGCTAATCTAGTTTATTTAAGTTAATGGATCCGTTAGGCTACTGACTATTCTTCTCCTAGTATTCCGAAGATCTATTTAATACGTTCCTTATATACAGCGAAATTTCCGAAAATTAAGTTAGTTTCCTCATTACGCTACCTTAGGGCTATACCTAAGTAGTCGTTCATTAAAGGTTTAAATTATTCGAAAGCGGATCTACGAAGTTAAAGTCCTACGAATAGTACTTTTTCCGCGGCGGTACTATACTTAGTGCGCTATAAGGTAAATATAGCCTTAAGTTAGATTAAGTACATACCTAGTTTATTTCGTTCTCTATAGAAGTATTCGACTTTAAGGTCGTCTTTTATCTTTACTACTTTTATGATACTAACCGATACTGTATTAATACTAGTAGTTAACGGGTTAGGCTATTAGGTGAGCCTTAATTTAGGTAACTTAAGGTTAGAACTACTAGACATCGTTATCGATATCATTAACTATCTAAGAAGATAGTTAAAATATTACGAGGTACTTTATACGTAAGGTATCCTTAGTAAACTCGAGGTAGTTTACTTAGTAATATAGTAGTAGGCGATGTAGTAGAGACGAAACTAAGAGTATAGTGTACGGTACTATACGTAAAGTACTTTAATCGAGAGGAACTCGATTATTTATAAACGAGGTTAACTACGCTTCCTAAAGAAGCGGACCTAGCTAGCTATATACCCTAAGTAGGTTTCCTATCTAGGTAAGTCTAGGCATTATAGTATTATAGCTATTACATCTCCTTAGCGTATAATAGTGTTTTATCTATAATAATATATTTCCCTTTTTAGTCATTACGTATCTTAGGTTAGCCTTACTAACGAGGCTACCCTATATCTCGCTTGACCTTCCCTACCCCGCGTTCCTAGGTGGTCGTGTAAAGGTCGGTTCGTAACATTATAGTAACCCCTATCCTAAGGTTCTATAAGGAGTACTATACATTACTTCATACCGTCAGTACTAACCTAGAGAACCTTCAGCGTAAGAAGGGACGGGATAAGCCCCGTACGACGAGGAACTCGTCGGTATCGGTCGAGGTAGCCCCGGCGGAGGATATAATGGAATAGGAACTATCGGACGCTACTACCGCCGCTATCGTACGTATATAGCGTACTTAATAAGTCTTAAAGGAGATATTAGATAAGCGAAAGGAAGCGGGACGCTATCTTTAATGCGGATTAGGAGAACACTTCGTACGATAATACTCCCTCCTCCTAGCGATACGTCCTCGAGCCGGACGAATAGTAGCTACGGCTATTACAGCGGAAGAAGGGGAAGAGGATCTAAAAAACGAGTAGCTCCTAGTAAGAACCGCTATTAGGAGCGTACGGAGATCTAGGAAGCCTAGCGAGGGTTCCGAAGTTCGATGGATAAGCTACCTTTCTTAGTGCCTTTAATAGTAAATAGAGAGTATTCTATAAATATACTTACGGATACTAGTTACTTATCGTACGGCCTTATTAACTCTCGCTTTACCTCCCTATAGAACCTCTAGCGTATATAGATTTCCCCTCGACCTATTATAGGATTTAATGAATCGATAAACTCATCGATCTCCGAAGTAGCTAAACTAGAGATCGATATTAACGGATATAAGGAAACCGCCTTCCTATATATCGTCCCGAGCCTTACCTCGTACGATATTATACTCGGGATTCCTTAGATGAAACGGAACGACGTACGACTTTACCCGAAGGAGTCCTACTTATATCTAGAACTATAGAGATTACGTATATAGAACGAATATAAGGCGACCCCCCGGAAGGCTAACTATAGCCTAGTAAGCGCGGCGGCTTTCTCCTTACTTACGTAACGATAACGGAAGTAGAAGAGTATATAAGTACTCGCCGCTAGTATAGCTGACATCGATAAAGCCCTAGTAGTTAAGAAGATAACTAACCCCCGTACGAAACTACCGGAACACTTATATCCCTTCCTCGACGTTTTTAATAGGACTATAGCGGATAAACTTCCGCTACTTCGAGGAAAGGGGGTAGACTATACGATCGACCTCGTACGGGATAACGGAGAGGCTCCTAAAGTACCTTAGGGCCCGTTATATAGTATATTAAGGGAAGAGCTACTCGTACTACGAAAAACGCTTATAAAGTTACTCGATAAAGGATTCATTCGAGTAAGTAACTCACCCGCGGTAGCGTTAGTCCTCTTCGTACGGAAACTAGAAGGAGGCCTACGGTTTTACGTAGACTACCGCGGCCTAAATAAGATTACGAGGAAGGATCGTTACCCTCTACCGCTAATATACGAGACGCTACGGAATATCGGACGGGTAAAGTAGTATACGAAGCTTAATGTTATCGCGGCGTTCTACTAGATTCGCATCGCGAAGGGAGACGAATGGAAAACGGCATTCCGTACGCGATACGGACTATACGAATAGCTCGTTATACCCTTTAGATTAGCGAATGCCCCTAGTACGTTCTAGAAGTACATTAATTAGGTACTACGCGATTACCTCGACGTCTTCTACTCGGCCTACATCGACGATATCTTAATCTACTTATATAGATCGCTTACGTAGTATCGAGAGTACGTACGAAAGGTCCTACAGCGATTACGCGAAGCGGGACTGAGAATTAATATCGATAAATGCGAATTCGAGGTTAAATCGACGAAATACCTTAGATTCATTATTAAAGTAAAGAAAGGCGTACGAATAGATCTAGAGAAGGTAAAGGCGATCCTTAACTAGGAAGCCCCTAAAATAGTGAAAGGAGTATAGAGCTTTATCGAGTTTACGAACTTCTATAGGAAGTTCATACGAGACTTCTCCGAGATCGTACGCTCTATTATAACTCTTGTACGAAAGGATATAACGTTCTAATGGTCAGCGGAGGTAGACTAAGTCTTCGTACGGCTAAAGAAGATGTTTACGACGGCCCCGATCTTAATCCTTTTTAACTATAAGAGAGAAACTATCCTAGAAGTCGACGCGTCGAAATAGTATATCGGAGGAACGCTCTTTTAAGTTAACGACGAAGGAGTCGTACGCCCCTGCGCGTTCTTCTTAAAGAAGAACTACCTAGCTGAATGTAACTACGAGATTTACGATAAGGAAATGCTCGCTATTATACGATACCTAGAGGAATGGGACGCCGAACTATAAAGCGTCGAGAAATTCGAGATCCGGTCTAACTATAAGAACCTTAAATACTTCATGACCGTACGAAAACTAATTAAGAGATAAATACGTTAGTCCCTTATCCTATCGAGGTATAACTTTATAATTACGTACGTCCCCGGGAAGTAGAATATTTAAGTAGATACCCTCTCTTAAAGAGAGTAGGATATACCTCGGGACTAAGAGGACGAGAGACTTTAATATCGTACGACCCGCCTTATTATACCTAAGATACTAGACGGGCGGAGATCTTAGGCGCTATAGGTAAATGTTACATTAACGGAAGAACTATCGATCGAGGAATAATAGAGAATAGCTTAACGGGACGACGAGACCTACTAGGAGGCTACTAAGTCTATACGAAGAGGAGCCCGTACGTTCCCCTCCGGCCTAGGCCTAAAGGTATCGATCTTAGAATGCTCCCTTAATGAGGAAGGGCAGCTACTATTCCGAGGTCGGCGCTGGGTGCCTAAATTAGAGGCTCTCCGTACGGCGATCATCTAATAGGTCTACGACTTAATAATTATAGGCTATCCTAGCCGGGAAGGTACGGTAGTAATAATAGTAAGATAGTTCTTCTAGCTAAATATACTATAAGACATTCGAAGGTTCGTACGGAACTACGATGTATACGGACGAATAAAGGCCTAGAAGGAACGAAAGTAGGAATTCCTTAAGCCTCTCCTGATCCCCGAGCGACTATAGAGAGAGGTATTAGTTAATTTCATTATAGAACTCCTAGAGAGCTAGAGCTGTACGAACCTCATGATTATTATAGACCGACTAGGAAAAGGAGTCTTACTGGAACCATTACGTACGATCGACTTAAGGGACGTGGCGAGGATCTTTCTACGGACATTCTATCGTCAATACGGACTACTATCAGCTATTATCTTAGATCGTAGCCCTTAGTTCGTGAGTGCACTATAGAAGAGGGTCTATCAACTCCTAAATATCGTATAACGACTATCGACGGCCTACCACCCGGAGATAGACGGCTCTACTAAGCGAATGAATTAAACGGTTAAAACGTACCTTCGTACGTTCGTAAATGGAAAATAGGACGATTAGGCGGAACTCCTACCTATAGTAGAACTAGCTATTAATAATCGCGACGTATACTCGATAGAAGTAAGCCCCTTCTTCCTCCTATACGGATACTACGTCGAACCGCTTCAGCTATAGGAGCCCCTCCGTACGACGGAGACTCCTCGAGGGCCTATATAATACGCAGACCTTATCGTATAACGACTCCGAGAAGCGAGGAACTAGGCGTAATCTTTAATGGCTATCGCGTAATAAGAATAAGAAGAGAGAACGAACCGATCACGACAGTAAGCGCCGTAGTTCCGAGTCGACGATAAGGTATAGCTGAACTTAAGGAACGTTCGGACGACGCGTACGAGTAAGAAACTAGACTAGAAAAACGCGAAGTATACCGTTACAGAGGTAATAGGTTCTTACAGCTACCGTCTAAATACCCCATCGGGTATTTATAATGTCTTCTACTTAGACCTCCTCCGTACGGCATTAATAGACCCTCTTAACTCGTAAAGAGCGGACGATAGTCAGCCTACGCCCGTAATAGTTAGAAACGACGAAGAATACGAAGTAGAAGCGATCCTAAAGGATAGGGTCGTACGAAGAGGGAGAGGTTCTCGGTAGTAATACCTAGTGAAATAGACTAGGTACGCCGAGCTAACATAAGAACTAGCCGATACACTATAAGACTCCGCTACGTTAGATGCATACGAGGCCCTCCAGGCTAGTGCCGAAGGAGAAGGGGGGGGTATTATGATGGGTTAAACCCAGAAGGAGGCTCGGTTCTGACGAACTAGCGCTAAGACTAACGCCACCTCCTGATTAGACGAGGCATAAGGGATACTAAATCCTAGTAAACTGAGACACCATACGTAAGGGAAGGTAAGGAAGAGAGATAAAGGTAAGGGAAACGTAAGGCGTGTACGAAAGAGGAAGGATAAGGGAGAAAGGGGAAGACATTAAGTATCCCTTACGGAAGAGCGTACGATATAAGGAGAGAAGGAGGGGATATTATTCCTCCTTCTCTCTCCTCAGATTTATCCTCCTTATTACTAGGTTAGCTAGCTAGTTGCAGAACTCTTTCCAAACCCTCATAGAGGACGCGAAAATACTATTAATTATATACGTATTTAAGATATAGAGATATTACCTTAAATCGCCTACGAAAAGTACGATAGTCCTTATTAATTATAAGGCGCTTTAATACTTTATAATTATTAAGGTCCTAAATCGACGGTAAATACGTTAAGTAGAGGTCCTAACGGTATACGACTTCTTAATTTAATAAAGGCGCGGAAAGGATAACTTCGCGGATAGACTCTCCCGCCGTCTTAATTATATAATAGAAGAAGAATAACCCGTAGTTAACGCTCTCGCGGAGCTACTATAACTACGTATACCCCTCGTAAAGGATACGTCTAAGAGTCGTATAAGACGCGGCGGTAAAGTTATCGTTAGTATTCTTACTTAAGCGGAGGCTTAAAGATAATTAAGTCCTAAGGAGAGTATATATAATATTATAATATTACTTACTCTCGAGGTAGAGGAAAGGGTAAACTTAAGCGAGTAAGAGATAGTTAATCTACGGACGCGTAAGAAAGCGCTTACGGACCGTATAAAAGAACTATAATTACTTAATAAATAATATTAAGACGCTCCGTAGAAACGAAAGTTAAATAGATATATTAAGAAGGGCGAGTTCTCTAGTACTTAAAGTATTAATAAGGATAAGTTAGCGCGTCGCGGGGGCTACGTATATATACCGTACGATCCTATAACTTAAAGAGAAATCCTCTAGATTAACTACGATAATCCGTAGTAGAGCGGGTATTTTAGCGAGTACCGGACGGTAGCGAGCCTTATACGATACTACTAATAGTTATATATACATCGCGATATATAAGAGTATATTAAGATATATAACGTATATTAACGAATAAAAGTATTAAGGTAGAAGCCGTACGGGAAGCTCTAATCATTACCTATACCTAAGGGTCCTTAATAAGATATTTTAATAGACTTTATTATAGACTTACCGCCTTCGTTACGTAACGAGATCGCCTATAATTTAATACTAGTTATCGTTAATAAATACTTAAAAATAGTAATCTTTATACCTTATATAAGTACTATTAACGCTTAAGATCTAGACTAAATAGTTCTAGAAAAGATAGTAGCGAAGTATAGCGCGCTTAAGTTAATAGTTAGCGATAGAGGGTCTCTATTTACGTTAACGTAGTTTAGAACCCTATATAACTACCTTATAACTCGCCGCCTATTCTTTATTACCTTCTATCCGTAGACTAACGATTAGACGGAGTATATAAACTAGATACTAGAAGTATACCTACGTTACTATATAAACTATAAGTTAATTAATTAGGCTACGCTACTTATAAGCGTAGAGTACGCGATAAACGCGGCTTATAATGTAACTACTAGTAAGACTCCGTTCTCTTAAGTACTAACGTTTAAGCTAGATATATATCTTAATATATAGGAAGTAATATCTTAAAATAAGCTCGCGCGAGACTAGATTAACTAACTTACGGACTTCTTACTATAAGCTAGCGAGGCGTATAATATAATTAAGCGATAAATAATAAAAATAATTAAGTATTATAATAAGAAACGAACGGAGATATTCTTTAATATTAAGAATAAAGTTATAGTCTTCTTAAAGAATATTTATATACTACGCGTAAGTAGAAAGCTTACGGATTAGAATATTAAACTCTTTATAGTCTTAGAATGTATTAGAAGAAATATCTATAGATTAGACTTACTTAATAAGTATAGTTAATTATATTATATATTCTACGTATCCTTACTATATACGTATCGTAGGCGGTCTAGGAGAGAAACCCCTAAGTTAATTAATATCGACGACGAGGAGAAATAGGAAGTCGAGTAAATTCTCGTTATAAGAGAACGATAAGGAAGACTAGAGTACTATATCTAATAAAAGGAATTTAACGAGGCCTATAATAGTTAAGAGCTTAAGAAGTACCTACGGAACGTATAGAGAAAGCTAGATAAATTTTATCGGAAATAGGTATAAGAGTAGAGAATAAATTATTATTCTTAATAATTAAGACTATAGCGACTTATATACGAATCTCTTACGCCTCGTATAAGTAAGGTAAAAAATACGTATACGAACTAATAAATAATTAACTTACGCTTTAACGCTTAAAGGCGAATCTACTACGGTACGAAACTCCGATTTCCCTAAGGGAGCTTAAGTCGAAGCGTACGCGGAACGTACGCGACTTAAGGGTAATGTCTCTCTAATACCCGACTAACTACCCGTAGGGAGCTTACTCCGTATCGGAGCCCGAATCCTCGTTAAGCTATACTTAAGTCTCTAAGTTATTCTAAAATTATTAGTACGCGAATAGAGTATAGGAAGCGTACGGTACGTACTACCTCCCGGTAGGAGTTAACCGCGGCCCGTACGGCGTCGATAAGGTAGGTTAAAAGAGGTTTAAGCTAGCCGCCGCTAATATTCTTAGTACCCGTACTAGAACTACGGGCGGAACGTATACGGTCTCTAATAGTAAGACTACCCGCTAACTTACGAGCTACGTCGGTCTCGACGAGCCGTAGCTCGACGTCGATAACGTTAGCCTCGCGCTAGATAACGACTACGGCGGGCGCGCTATCCTCGCCCCTCGCGTAAGCGAGATTAGCGGCCTATAGGCTATTCGTACGCGAGATAAGTAAAGGAGGAATCTAAAATTATTAGCCTACGGAACGTATATAGACCGTATAGGACTTATCGGTACGTAGCTTAAGTAGCTACTGCGCTTACTCTTACTATAATAAGAGTAGTTAGTAGAACGATAACCCGTCTCGATTATAAAAATATACTCGATCTCCTACCTCGCCGTATCGTCTACGGCCCGTAGGCGGCGTAGGTAGCGATAGTAGTAGGAGCTCTTAGCCTTCGTTATCTTAGTCCGCTTAGAGGGAGAGGGGGTAGAAGGCGTATCGTTAGGGACTACATTATAAGTTAATAGCGAACTATATATAAATTATATAACTTACGGAGGCGCTATAGAGGACGGTTATCTCTAGGATCCTTAGCCTTACTATCGGTAGCGACTAGAGTAGCGGGGCGATCAGCGATAGAAGTAGTAGGGGTAGCGACGGCGGTAGATACTATAGCGGTTAGTACGCGGACCGTAATAGTTACCGTAGTATATACTATTAGAGGAGTAAGAGAAGAGCTTAAATTATAGAGATTACGATATAAATATTAGCCGTAGCCTCCTTATATACGAATCCGTCGAGGATCGCTAGAACTTACTCTAATAGGAGGGTACGAGAGTAGAGAGCTTTATTAATTATTAGTATATACGTTTCGTATATAGAACGAAGGCGAAAAGTACTTATATAGTAGTTATTATTATAGTTATTATAGATAAGAAGGAAGAAGGAAGAGAAAACGAAAACGAAGGAAAATAATAATAAAGGGCTACTAGTACGATATAACGGTAAGGTCTACTAAACTTATATTAATAATAGTCGAGTACGACTTATACGCTATACGTATGTAGCTACCCCTTTAATAGTACGGAGATACGAACGGTATAAGGCCTACCTATAGGATACCCTTAGGGGTATAAGTACGCCGCCTAGGGATAGGCCTACTACTATAAGAATTAATTAATCTACATTTACGGAGCGTAAATAAAGGATGCGACTACGAGGTTAAATAGTTACGGACCGTATACGACTCTTAAGATACTATAAAAATTATATAAGTATGCGAGACGCCTACGGTACGCGGGAGGAGGATCCCTAGAAACTTCTTAAGGACGAGAAGCTTAAGGAGGAGGATAATTATTACGAACCGCTAAGTATAACCTATACGTAATAACCCCTTATTATTTAAGTACCGTATACTTACCGCCTAGGGGAAGCTTCCTTCCCTTATACTTTAAGTTTTAGTTAAGATATACTATTAAGGAATACCTATATCTATCTATACCTATCGCTACCCTCTGCCTATCTCCATAGGCCGTTCCTGACATTAGTACAGGCCTCGTCGACTGGATCATCGGATAGAACCCAGTCGCTGTGACTGTATATGGTTATGTCTCCTAAGCTGGGTCGGTGGGACGAGCAGAGTGATAAAATCCCTTCGTCAGGGTAGAGAGCTGGACCCATGACTACCTGCACCTCCTCCGTCCCCTAACTACTACTACCCATGCTCCCTTAATCTTGCGGATGCCCATTTTTCGCTGTTGAATGATCTACCACTGCCACTTTATATTTCTATTGAGCATGAGGTAGAGGATTACGCCCGCCTAGCTTGCCCCGTGGCGATGGCTGACGACGAGCTAGATGGAGTGGGAGAGATCGCTGATGGCGTCTAGGAGGGGTAAGCGTCGTCTCCATTTCCCACCCTTTTGATGATGGTGAGCTCACTTAATGATGTAGAGGAGACGCCATAGAGTCAATTTCAAGACCTACGCTACGCAGTAGGTGCAAATAGATGGGATTGCTGTATGTTGTATTACCTATCTGTAGTTCCTATAGATAGCGACTTAACGCTTAGAGAAGGAGGAAGGTGTCACGGCCTGCGCGCCTCAGATAGTGGGGTACCCCGCATAAGGCTAGGTTCCCTACACGAGGCTGAGCGCGTATAACCTTATCTTTCGCGCTATCACCGTAACTACTAGTTAGATTCCTTCGTCTTAGAATTCATGTTATAATTATACCCTTAATAGCGATCACGTTCCTATTGTTAGTTACGCCGTGATAGAAGGACTAATTCCCACCTGAGTTAGGTAGGAAGGGGCTCTTGTAACTAGGCTTTAATATAGGTCAGGTCAACCCACTCTAGGTCGATTCAGGTTAGGTTGTTAGGTCGGGTCGGGTGGCGAGGTTAATTAGCCTAGTAGCCCTGTAGGTCGGGCTAGTTAACTACTGACCGAGCCCGAAAACCTAGTGTCCGATCTAAAGTTTAATATACCTTCCTAATTAGGAAGGTAGACCTTTAAAAAAGGCTAGAGTTACAGAGTAACGATAACATTAAATTCGACCTCGTCATCGCCCCTAGTGCGGGGTATAGTGGGGTATAGATTAGACCCGACCCGACCCGCCGTGGAGCCGGTGGCCTAGTATTTAGGTTAGGTCGCGGGGTTAAATATCCTAGAAACCTAATTAAGTCGAGCTAATTAACCCTTAAGCCTGACCCGACCCGACCCATGTTAAAGCCTACTTATAAATTCCCCTCTAAACTGTCATGTGGAGTAAGTATAAGGTGGTATAGTATAGACTCGCGTTCGCCTGACAGCCTTATACTCTCAGCCTTATTCCCTCAGCCTTGTGCTCTCAGCCTTATGATCTTAGCTTTGTATTCTAAGCCTTATGTACAATGCCTCTTTGTCATTTGCATACTTATCTGGTCTTGCCTACACTTCTCTCCTAGATTGGGTGGGGAGTGTATGGCTCCTTAGGCGATTGTCTGTGACAGTCAATGCCGGAGGCGTACAACACCGTGCTGTGCCTCTCCCAGAGCGTGGTCATAGACGACCCTGATGTGAGGGGATGCGTTGTCGACGTGGCTGGCATGGCACTTCTGGATAGTGGAGACTGGGAAATCCACGTCCTACCAAGTAATATCTCTGCCCGGGCAGGCTACCTTCTAAAGCGTTATCCTGGCTCGACGCTCAACACGCATCATGACCCTCAGGTGCCTCTCCCAGAGGTCATGGCATATTTTGGACCCCGCAGGGCCTCGGAGTTGCACACCATTTAGAAATTCAGGGGTGGTCCGCACTAGAAAATCCAATGCCAGTGCTTGAGCGAGCGGGTCATGCTGGCCCATCTGGCGCGGACCAACGTTATTGGGTAGAGGTGGCCTACGGGTAAGTAGAATCAGCGCCATAGCTCTGGAGATAGTGCATTTCTCGACCTTACTAGTATCGCGGCGCAACCTACGACAGGAACGTGATCGCTGTCAAGGGTGCAATTATGACATGAATTCTGAGACGAAGGAATCTAACTAGTGGTTGTGGCGATGGTACGAAAGATAAGGTTATGCGCGCTCAGCTTCGTGTGGGGAATCCAGCCTTATGCGGGGTACCCCACTCCCTGAGGCGCGCAGGCCGTGACATTGTGGTTCTGAGACTACACGAGCCTTCCCTCAAGGGTCGCCTGCGTCAAGAGCTTCCCATTGCTGCCGGGTTTCACCAAAGGACTCACGCCCGCACTAGGCGCACTAGCGCTATCGCCTAACCCTATGGAGTGCAGGCGGCGGTACTGGAACCTTACTTAGGGTGGCACGGGCGGTCAGTTGGGGAGGCCCCAGTGTTGGTGGACACGAACGGTCTGGAAGTGGTTCGTCGGCTTCGGAAGGTTCTCCCGCTCTGGCTTCCTAGGTCATGCTGGCAGTCGCCATAACGAACGCTACAAACTCAACATCAGTCTCTGCCTGAGGGCTTGGGGTGCCCGGAATGACACCGCCAGCGCCTAAGTTCCACTCGCATGTGCCCGGGCGAGCCGCTGTTTAGTTGATCACTGACTGGGAGCGTGCGAGAAAGGCTAGAGACACGTCTGCAAGAGAACGTAGCCTTGAGATGCCCTCTCGAGGCCTCGCGTCCACCAGCGCACTCTGCCAGGGCCACCCCGTCGGCCAGCCCGTAGGTCTTTCCCAGTCTGGGTATTGATCTGGGTCGTACTTATTCTTCTCCAGAGTTGGGGAAGGCTGTGATGGTAGGAGGACGTCGGTGGTGAACTTGGAGTATGAGGGGAGCCCCGAGCTCCCAGCCTCGCCCGCACAACGGTGCGTTTATCTCCGTGTTGACTTGCCAAGGTGCGCTAATGCAAGAGGTGGTGCACGGACCACAAGAGAATCGTGGATGTCCGTTGTGGCCCGTGCACCTGGTCCGTGCACTAGCGCCCCTTGGCAAATTAACAACCCCTTCAGGACCATAATGACGGTGTGTGATAATATGTCCTTCGCTCTTGGCAGACTCCACTGACAGCCATTGTGGAGGGCGTCAGTTCTACGACTGGTTCTTTAAAGTGGTGTTTTCCCTTGATTCGCTTTGAGGTAAAGAACCTGGGCATCGTACATCTCGCACATGCATCAAATTCCGAATAACTTTGTCGAAAACACCGTTCGTTAGCTTCAGTAGGTCTAAGATTATGCTGTCACGGCCTGCGCGCCTCAGGTAGTGGGGTACCCCGCACAAGGCTGGATTCCCCACACGAGGCTCAGTGCGCACAACCTTATCTTTCGTACCATCGCCGCAACCACTAGTTAGATTCCTTCGTCTCAGAATTCATGTCATTATTACACCCTTGACAGCGATTACGTTCCTGTTGTAGGTTGCGCTGTGATACATGCGATGAAGATCTTGCCAAGCCGCGGTTGAGTCCTGGCAGGGCGCCCTCATTATTACTAGTCAGGGGGTGATTTCGGGGTAATTTCAAGGGTCCTGTAGTTCATCAGTTCAACAGGTCCATGACTTAGTTTTGTAAAGGATTTGTTAGCAGGGTTGTTCACAGATGGATTCAAGTCAGAGAACGATGAAATGAGGCTGTTGATGATCAATTTGATGTTGTTGTTGGTGTTGAAGGAAGTTGAGTTAGTTGAGTTGAAGAGTGGCGGCGACGAGGTGGTAAATGGAAAGTGAAATCGCTAGAATTAGGATCGGATTAACTAAGATCCGAAAGTCACGTTATCTGTCTTTTCATTAGCCAATCGATAAGCGCCGATAAGAGTAACCAATCAGAAGCGTGGCTGTTTGGTCAGTTTAGCCGGTAAAAACCAGCTCAGCTAAAGCTTCGCTGGATAATGGGACATCAAGAAGAGAGAACGAGCTTCGTGTATATCTCAGCCGCCTAGTGATAGCAGACCACACCTAGAACCCCAAGCTTAGGAGAGCAATACAGTAATCGGAATGGCGACGGAGCAGCCGAAGAAGCAGAAGAAGCCATCTCATCACGATAGTTCCTCTCTGATTCCTACGAAGGGACCTAAAGTAATCCACCACTTATGGGCGCCAGATGCCGTCCAGATGCCCACATCCCTGGAGTAGACCACTCCAGAATCTTTGGCGGTTCCCTTCTTCAGCCCTTCAGCGATCAACTAGTTCTGCGCCCTCGTCAAGAGTAGAAGGGGGTGCTGCACTAGTTTCAGCATCAGTGCCAGCCGTGTTCTTGACAACCGCATCATACACTGTCTCGTGGGACTCAAAGCTCGGAGTGTGTCGGAAACTTCCAGTGTTTCATCACCAGACTCTACTACGTTTCACTCTCTCAGGCGGATGAGGAAGTAAGAGGTGGTGCGTTGAGGTTGAGTTTAGCTTTTCTTGTGAAGATCTTGGCTAACATTAAATGAAATGTGACGGAATATCATCGACATCTCAGCTGGGGAAGGGGGTGGTCAGTGGAGACGCATCTATGGGAACAAAATGTCAGGAACACCCACGTGATACTGGACACTCGGCTCAGGCCACCAACTAAGGAGTTAGGCCGCCAGCTAAGCAGCTGGCTTACCGCATGTATATAGTAAGAGGGGTCATACCTGTCAACCTTAAAGCCTCTTCAAGCGTTGACATCTCTATCTATAGGCTGGTTATCTATCACTATTGATCCTATAGTACACACATTCACCTTCCAGTTAGTTAACTAGTCTGATACAAAAGAAAGCGATCGTGAAATAGCCACGGTCGACGCTGGACCTATTACGGCGCAGCCTTAAACAGGAGAGATCGCTATTAAGGATGTAATTATGATATGAATTCTAAGACGAAGGAATCTAACTAGTAGTTACGGCGATAGCGCGAAAGATTAAGTTATACGCGCTCAGCCTCGTGTAGGGAATCCAGCCTTATACGGGGTACCCCAGACCTGAGGCGCGCAGGCCGTGACAGAACTAAGTTTCTTCGGAATGCGCCCAGGCATGGGATGAATCAGGCATCAGTCTCCCACGGATCGTCCCAGCAAGTGACCGCTGGAAAGGTTCTCCTCTTCCTGTCCGTCAGCGATATAAACAGGTATTGGAGGAGGCTAGATCAAGACGCGAGAGCAAAAACTCGGGATATGACGCCGCATTAGCCAACAACGACCAGGCGTCGGCCACCTGTGCCACCATAGTCTACGCAGATATTTCTGTACCGTCCGGCTTCCTTCACAACATCAAAGTGAAACTCACCCGTCGCAGTGGATGATAATCCCGAAAAGCGTACCCAGGGAGCACCGTCCCATCACGAAGTACGAAGAATTCTGTAATCTCACATCCACCGGGAGTGTCTCACGGTGTTAGGAGAGCGCAAGAAAGTAGTCATCCTGTGGCCCGGTGATGGTGGGAATGTACACCTCCTCGTTGAGGCGGAAAAGAAGTGAGATGCCTTCCGCATTCTGGTCCCTAGATTGAGAGGTGGCCTCCTGACAATGGTCAGTGAGAAGGATGCTCTCTTCATGCCTACGGGAACAATTCACGCCACTATCACCCTGTATTTTAATTGATGTTGATAGCAATTCGGTTGGAAGACGCTGATATTAAAACCGACGACTCTCGCTAAGATGGACAGCTCACACACCGTGACGTATTGTGTAGGAGTCAATAACTGTGGTCACTTCATCTCTACTCACCTCAACGAGTCTCAAGTCGACTTTCCAAGGAAGGGCTTCGTAGGTGGTCGGCGAGTAGAGTTCCGCGAGGGGATGCGCTACAGCCGCTATTTGATGTCCTCGGCTATAACTTGATAAATGTAGCGCTGTATGGATTCTGCACGCCTCAGACAATTTTATCTCCACTCATTCGACGAGTTCAGTATCAGGAATGCCTTACTGGAGATAGGCAGTACTCAGCGATAGATCGATTCCGTAGTTATAAGTATCCCTTAACGTATAGTAGTAAAAATAGACTGTGAGGAGTATATGAGGGTTTAGAAAGAGTTCTATAACTAGCTAGCTAACCTAGTAATAAGGAGGATAAATCTAAGGAGAGAGAAGGAGGAATAATGTCCTCTCCTTCTTTCCTTATATCGTACGCTCCTCCGTAAGGGATACTTAATGTCTTCCCCTTTCTCCCTTATCCTTCCTCTTCCGTATACGCCTTACGTTTCCCTTACCTTTTATCTCTCTTCCTTACCTTCCCTTACGTACGGTATCTTAGTTTACTAGGATTCGGTATCCCTTATACGGTACGCGCCTCGTCTAATTAGGAGATTACTTTTTACCTATATAATGTATAGGTAAATTTAGCTAATTAGGAGGTGACGTTAGTCCTATCGTTAGTCTTAGCGCTAGTTCGTTAGAACCGAGCCTCCTTCTAGGTTTAACCTATTATAATACCCCCTCCTTCTCCTTTAGTACTGGCCTAGAGGGCCTCGTATACATCTAACGCAGCGGAGTCTTATAGTATATCGGCTGGTTTCTATATTAGCTTAGCGTACCCAGTCCATTTCACTAGGTATTACTACCGAGAACCTCTTCCTCTTCGTACGACCCTATCCTTTAGGATCGCTTCTACTTCGTATTCTTCGTCGTTTCTAACTATTACGGGCGTAGACTGACTATCGTCCACTCTTTACGAGTTAAGAGGGTCTATTAATGCCGTACGGAGGAGGTCTAAGTAGAAGACATTATGAATACCCGATGGGGTATTTAGACGGTAGCTGTAAGAACCTATTACCTCCGTAACGGTATACTTCGCGTTCTTCTAGTCTAGTTTCTTACTCGTACGCGTCGTCCGTACGTTCCTTAAGTTCAGCTATACCTTATCGCCGACTCGGAACTACGGCG